GTTCAAAACCTCACTGCCCTCAAATAAACCGCGCCGGGACCGAAAGCTTTGGCTGACCCTCCACGCGCGAAGTCTTCTTTGCGCCGCACTCGAGGGGCAACACAAGCTCCTTCCCAAGCACACGTGATAATAAATTTTTTTTCCCCTCTTCCAGAATCCAGCTACGGGATTGAAAACATCCGGCAAAAGCAGAGCTCACAGAAGTGCCAGACTGGCAAAGCTGGTGCTGGCTCCACCTTCAGCTGCATCCACTGAACTGCACCACAAAACCCCGGTGTCTGCTCTTTGCTTCTCAGTACCATCATAATCCTTCAGTCTCACAGAGCCAGGATCCAAAACTGAACCCCACCACTGCCCAGACACTAAATGGATCAGGACAAAAAGCTCGACAGCTTGGCTTTTACACTCCCACTCTGGAGGTTCAGCAGCGGTAACTGATAGCACTGTATCCTAGGAAAAGCACTTCAACTCACCAGGACACTCCCTAAACTGCCCAATGTGTGAACCCAAAAGTGATTTTCTTGCCAAAGGGAGGAAGTGAAGACCCCATCTCAGCAGAAGTGTGATCCTACCCCACTCCAAAACAGAAAATATCCATGGATTGCTCCCATACAGAAGTGGCAGAACACTGCAAAACTGGGCATTAAACTCCCCAAGGCATCTGCACACCCACACTGGGGAGAGCTGCTTACCTTGCCCATAGTAAACAGATTGCCAAACACTTCAGAAGGCCACCTGGCAAACTGAAGGCGTTGGGAGGTTGCCCCCACACCAAGGGTGCCAGACAGAAACACTCTTGCTGTCCCTTTCATTCCCTGGGCACCCAATTCTCTGCAGCACAAGCCCCAGGACTGTGTGTTTTTATGGAGAGCACTGGGATCCCTCCTTTGCACAAGGTTAACTCCAGCATTTGGATACCCACTCGATCATTTCAGTCCTCGGGGGATTGCTCCCACACAAAATGTCCCAGGACAGAAAGCTGCTCCTGGCTGCTGCAGCCTCTGATCTGCACCTGGAGCACTGGGATCACCTGCCTTCCTCCCCATGTAAAAGCACTGGGACACATTTTCAGGAGCCCAGACCAAAAAAGTCGGACACCATCTCCAGTGCTGACAACATCCAAGAATTGCTCCTACACAAAGGGGGCCAGCAGAGAACTGTCTTGCTGCATTTTAGCTCCCCATGGTACTGCAAACAGCGGGACTACATCCTTTACTTCCCAAGGAAAGACACTCTGATTCACTTCCTGAACCCCACCCTAGATAATTTGGAGACAATCCTCAAAAATTGTATACACCTTGGATTTTCTACACCAGAAGTACCAGAACAGAAAGCTGGGGCTGATCTTTATGTCCCCTGGTTACCTGTCCTCTGCACTGCACCTGAAACACTGGGCCTAGCTGTTTTCCTTCCTTCTTACATCTCCCTGGCATTATCTTATATATCACCTTTACTTAACTGGCCCTTTCTTGTCTGGCCTTTCCTTGCTCTACCTGCCCTTGTTTGACTTCCACTGCCTTGCCCACCCCTCCCCTGCCTTGCCCTGCCTTGCCTAACTCTTCCTGGCCTTCCTTTGCCTTGCCTATCCCATCCCTCCCTTGCCTTGCCTCTCTCTGCCCACCTCTCCCTTCCTTGCATTGCCTTCCAATCCCATCCCCTGCCTTGACCTGCCTGCCCCTCCCTGTCCCTGCCTGGCCTATTTTCCAGCTGTTACTAACCAGGGAAAGGGGGTGTGGGGGGTGACACTGCCCCTTGCTCTTGGCTTGGCCAGAATAAATATTAATGTCCAAAAAAGTCCTGAGAATGGCTGTGGGGTTGGGATGTAGGGTTTAGAGGAGCAGGGAGAGGTTTTCTGGGGCTGAAAATAAGTGTGGGTGGGCAGCTAGGCTGTGTTTTAAGGGAACAGAGATGGATTTCAGCAGGGCTGGGGATGGTTCATGTTGGGCTGGAGATGGAATTTGGGGGGTGGGGATTGATATTTTGGGGCTTGGATGGGTTTTGGGAGACTGAGGAGAGGTTTTGGGGGCTTGGATGGATTTGGGGGGACAAGGGGCTGGGTTTGGAGGACTGGAAAATGGTTTTGGGGCGCTGCGTCATGAGAGACTTGGTTGGGTTTCAGAGGAACAGGGAAAGGGTTTAGGAGGCTGGAAATGGGTTTTCAGGGGGCTGGGATGGGTGGGGGGAAGGGGCTGGATCCATTTGGGGGGGACCAGGGATATGGTTTGGGTTTGTGGGTGGATTCTGGGAGAGCAGGGCTGGATTCGGGGCGTCCAGCGCTGGGTCTCAGGGCGCTCCTCCACCCAGGCTGCTTCTGCTGTGACATCATCCACAGAAGGTGCTGTCACGGCGGTGCTGGAACCCACAGTGCTGAGAGGTTGGGCTGGGACAGGTGTCCCCAGTCCCCGCTGGGCACTGAGCAGTGGGATCCTGAGCCCCTGGCGAGGAGCCGACCCACCATGGTGACACTGGTGGTAGGTGCCGAGTGCTACGACCTGGTGGCCGCGGTCGGGAAGGGGACCTTCGGGCAGGTGACCCAGGGCCAGCGCAGGAGCACCGGGGAGATGGTGGCCGTCAAGATCCTGAGGAACCACGATTACAACGGCCAGATGGTGAGGAACGAGCTGAGGCTGCTGCAGGCCCTGCGGGAGGGGGGCGCGGAGGAGTCGCACATCGTCCGTTTCCTCGAGTCCTTCAGCGACACGGTCTGGACCTACCTGGTCTTCGAGCTGCTGCAGCAAAACCTCTTTGATTTCCAAAAGCAGAACAACTTCTCACCGCTGCCCGTCCGGCACATCCGCACCATCACGGCGCAGGTGCTGGCGGCGCTGGTCAAGCTGAAGGAGCTCTCCATCATCCACGCCGACCTCAAGCCGGAGAACATCATGCTGGTGGACCACTCGCGCTACCCGTTCCGCGTCAAGCTCATCGACTTCGGCTCGGCCATCCTCCTCCCCGAGGTGTGCCGCGTCCAGAAGCCCTACATCCAAACCCGCTTCTACAGAGCGCCGGAGATCTTGCTGGGGTTGCCCTTCTGCGAGAAGGTGGATGTCTGGTCTCTGGGCTGCGTGATGGCCGAGCTTCACTTGGGCTGGCCGCTCTACCCCGGCAACAACGAGTACGACCAGGTGCGCTACATCTGCTCCACCTTGGGACTGCCCCGGGGCGAGCTGCTCTGCGCTGCCCAGAAGACACAGTCCTTCTTCCGACGGGTCCCGTGCTCTGTCGGTACCTGGCAGCTCAAACCACCGGCGAAGGTGATGGCGAAGCCAATGGAGAGGAGGGTGCACGTCTTTTCCTCGCTGGATCAGTTAGCGGCGGTGAACCTCTGCCTGGTGTCTGATCCCGACCAGGAGGAGCTGGCCAAGCGCTGTGACCTGTACGGGATGGTGGAGCTGGTCAAGAGGATGCTCACCTGGGACTCGCGCGAGCGGATCTCGCCCAGCGCTGCCCTGCACCATCCCTTCATCTCCATGCAGGAGGTGAAGTCCCGCTTTGAGGCCACGCAGTACTACCAGCTCAGCCAGGAGGACCTGAGGCTATCCCGTATGGATTCTAGCAGAGCCGGAGATCTTCCCTGGCATGGAGAGAGGTGCCTTCATCCCCACTGGCCAGGGTGGCTTCCAGAAGGCCGTTGCCCAGACAGGCGGGCTCAGCCTGGCCGAGCTGGCTGGGGACACCAACAGCAAGAACCAGCAGGACGTCTGCCAAGCCCCCAGCCCCACACACTACGGCAGCCAGTGCCACCAGCATCCCTGGTGTCCCAAGCCAGAGCCCACCAGCGGCCACTTGACTGTGCTGGGGCCTCCCAGCAGTGTGGAGCAGCACGGCCACTGCAACGGCCCCGTCGTCGGTGGCATCGTGGAGCGGAACCTGCGTGAAAGACGGTACAGCTCATCCCGTGCCAAGGTACAGGCACAGGGAGGGGGCTCCTGGGCACAGGCACTCTGGGACAGTGGGTGCTTGGGATCCCTCGGGTGCTTGGGGTGCTTGGTGCCCCATGTCCCCTGGTGCTGCGTGTTGTGGGTGTTCAGGGTCCCTGGTGCCCACGGTCCCCACAGAGGAGGAGGAGGTGACACTCACCCCCTCCCCATGCTTTGCCCCCCCTGCAGAGAGCTCTGGTGACGCGGTGCGACCCCTGGAAGCCTTCAGGGATGTGGAGACCAGACGCTGGGATGATGCCACAGTGTCCAGCACACTTCTCCTGCCACAGAGCTGGTGACATCCCCAGCACCACTGAGCCCCCGTGGCAACCCTGGCACGCACCCTGGCAGCCCAGAGCTTGCAGGAGACCTTCCTCGTCCTCATCCCCAGGCACCCCGGACACCAAAACCCAGCGCCTTGCTGGTGGAGACCACGGCCAGGACTGCACCAAGACACACTGTGCTAGATGCTCCCGGCTCTGTTTTTCCCATTGATCCCCCAATAAATGGTTTTGCCAAAACCTGAGCATTTCAGCTGATTCTTTGGCCGGGGAGGTTTGGCAGGGCCCAGAAATGACCCCAGGACTCGAGGCACCTCAGCAGTGCCCAGCACAGGGTGGGGGCGGTCACTGTCCTGGTCCCACTGGCCACACTGCGGCTGGTACAAGCCAGGTGCCAGTGGCCTCCTTGCCCATCTGGGCACACCTGGGCTCACGTTCAGCCGGTGTGTGCCCAAGTGGGCGGGCAGAGAAGCGGGCAGGGCTCCCCGGCCGGACCAGCCCCGGGGGCTGCGGACAGAGCGCGGTCCTGAATGGGGACACCGCCCGGACACTCCAGACACCCTGGACATCCCGAACACCCTGGAAATCCCGAACACCCTGGACATCCCGAACATCCCGGACAGCCCGGGCATCCTGGACACCCTGGACATCCCGGACACCCTGGACATAACGAACACTCCGGACATAACGAACACTCCGGACATCACGGACACTCCGGACATGGCCACGGCCCCAGCCCCGGCCCCTCCCGCTCCCCGCCCACCCCGTCCCGCCCCCCTGCCTGTCGGTTCCGCTTCCACCGCCTCTTCCCCTTCCTGCGGAGGTTGCCGCGATGTCGGCGCTGGCGGCGAACCCCAACAACCCGGTGGTTTTCTTCGATGTCACCATCGGCGGGCAGGTGCGGGGAGCGGCCGTGCCCGGGCAGGGGCTGCGGGGCGGGCGGGGGTGTCGGGAGGGAGGTGGGTACGGGGGGACCCCCAGGGCTCACCTGGCCCCTGTGTCCCCCCCAGGAGGTCGGCCGCATGAAGATCGAGCTGTTCGCCGATGTCGTTCCCAAAACGGCGGAGAACTTCAGGTAAGGCTTTTGGGTGCAGGAATGTTTTTTTTTTTGGGTGGCAAAGGGATTACCTGCCCTCCCTCCCCGAACTGCTGCGCCTGCTTTGCGTGTCTCTCTTTACCAGAGATGCTGTGCTGGTGTCCTGGTGCCCCAGGGAAGCCCATCTGGCTGCAAGGGGAAGGACTCCAGTCCCCCTCTGGTTCCTCTGTGGAGGCTGTGATGTGCCCGGTCCATGTAGAACAGTACCCTCAAAAGTTCACACGTGCCTGACACTCTGCTCTCTTTTTTTGTTTTCCAGGCAGTTTTGTACAGGTGAATTCAGGTAAGTGGGTTAGAGTGTCCTTTTAGGTGGCCCACTGGAGAAGCAGAGCTGGATGAGGTGGAAGAGGGGCTCGCCTGGAAGTTTTGCATGTTGTACCAAATGAAAGAGTTACAGAAATCTGCTCTGAGGAGATTGTGGGGGGTCTCTGAGAGCCATGGAGGTGACAGGTTTTTCCTTTTGGATGTGACTCTTTGTGCCAAGGAGGCTCTAAAAAGCCCTATCTGCAAACCCCACCTGCTCGTGCTGCACTTTGCAGTGGGATCCTGTGAAGATGGTGGTGTGGGTGTTGCAGGGTACCAAGTCATTTCATGTGCAGAGCACATTTGAGGACTCCTTTTGCCTCCAACAGGAGGCAAATTGTATTTCAAGGCAGCTGCTGATGTGCAGGGCAACCTTTGGGACTCCGAATTCTTGTGGGGGTTTTGTGTTGGGATATCCAGTAAGTTGAAAGGATTTTCCTTTTTACTTCCTTACAGGAAAGATGGTGTCCCTATAGGTTATAAAGGAAGCACTTTCCACAGGTAATTCATCTGCTTTTCAGGCACTAAACAGCATCCTGACCCAGATGGGGTTTTGGGACCTGCCTCGAGGCATTAGTGGTGTTCGAGGCATTTGTGGGTCATGGCTAGTGTCACCCTCCTGTGCCTTTGGGGGATCTGGGGGTGCTGTCAGGTGTGTATGCTGGGGTCACTGGGAGGAATCCCCTGTTCCTGGTGTGCCACATGAGAGATCATTGTCTGGCATCTGGTGGAACAGCAATGGGGTCCCAAATGACCTGATATCAACCGCTGATTTGTTGCAGATTTCAGGCTGCAGCACTCACAGACTGCTGTTAACTTGTGTTGCACAGCCAGGCAGAACTCCTTTTTACCTTTCTGATGCGTTTGTCCTCCAAGAACTAAGTGCTGTTTCACTTCTTTAGGGTAATAAAGGATTTCATGATCCAAGGAGGCGACTTCGTAAATGTATGTACTCCTGCATCCCTTTTGTCCTTTTGCTACGTTGTACAACATGCAGCTGTTTCCAAGGGTCCCTGCTGATTTATGGGATCTCTTCCTTTTTTGAGGTGTGCAGTAGTAACTGGAGGTGTCCTCACAGCATTACTGCCACCTTACTGCAAGAGGCATTAATGTACTTGAAAACAAATCAAGTGTCTGGTGCAAGAGGTCATTTAAATCAAAACTAACTTTTTGTTAGTGAATTGTCTGGAAATAGAAAAGGGTTTGTGTCCGCAGTGGTGGTTGTGCTCTGGCTTGGATGTAAGCAGAGGGGAAGGCTGAAGTGCCACAGGATCTCTTCACTGTCCTGGGACCCAGTAAAATTACTTCATTTCTTGAAGTGTTTCAAAATATGTGGGGAGTCATAAAGGTTTTTTAATATAAAACTTGGCTGTATGAAAGTCACTGAGAGAACTGACCGCACAGTGGGTGTCTCAGCCACACCAGACTCTGAGGGAGTTGCTAATTGTGACCCTGCCCAGGCGTCCCAGTGGGCTTTATTACTTCCCCTGCAGCTCAGCAAGCTTTACAGATTGCTCCACTATTTGGAATTTCTACAGTGTGTTTATTACAAAGCCACCTGGGGAGCAAGCACAGTCACACCGACCTCTGAGACCTGGTGTAAGCTCCTGGCTCAGAGCTGACAGTTCAAGTAAGCCAGGAAGAACAGGAGGAAAAGAAGCAAGAGCTGGGCAGGCAGAGCAAAAGATGTGGTATATTAATGAATAAAGATCAGGTATGTTAAGCAGAAAGGCAAGGAAGGGAGAGAGGTTGCAGCCAGGCAGAAGAAATGGGGCTGAAGCAACACAGAAGGAGAAAATCAACACAGAAATGGAATTAACTGTCAGGATAGTAAATTTAAGTGACCGTCCCAGAGATACCTGTTTGCATTACTTCTACAGCTTTCCCTGGAGGACTCCTCACCACAGCATTTTAAGGCCATTCTGCTGAAGGGTCCCTGCTCAGTCCTTTTGGCGTCATACAGGAGTGATCTGAACTTGTGGGCTGTCAGAACTTACAACCTGCAGCTGTCACAGCCCACGCTGCTTTCATTTATAAATGCCTTGAGATCTGAGTGCTCGGGCTTATAGTTAAATACAAGATGTTTTGGACTTGGTGGAAAGTACAGCGAAAACTAGAAAAGCTATGTTTAAGAAATTGTCCCTGCAGAACAGGGAGATTGCTTCCCTGTTCCCAGTAAAGTCACACAAAATAAGGTGAAATACATAAACCCACCTGGAGCCGACTTTTTCCATGCAACCACTTCTGCTTTCCTTGTCATACCAGCCTGTACTTCTGTGTCCCCTGCCTTTTCCCTGTCAAGTCCAAGTGGGTCTGTACCAAGCAATCTGTAGCCTCCACCTCACTCTGGGAGGCTTGGACTTAACCCTTACCACCCCCCGTGGGTTTCTGCCAACACTTGGATGGTGAACAATGAACTGTGTAGTTAGAAACCAGTTGCTGTTCCTGGTCAGAAGTGAGACAGTGACTGTGTTCACTGCTGGTGCATATAAATGGCAGTACAGCATCCACTTTGGGCTGAGTTTGACCCCTTCCTCTTGCTTGGGGTTTTTAAATTTAATTTTTAAATCGAATTGTTCTGCAGCAGTTGCCACAGAACAAATATTGTGGCTGACTGGGCACTTCTCTCGTGCAGGGAGATGGCACTGGAGTAGCCAGTATATACAGGGGTCCTTTTGCAGATGAAAACTTCAAGCTGAAACACTCTGCTCCTGGCCTGCTCTCTATGGTGAGTGTGAAATAATGACACTACAGACTAAAAAGCTTTTGGTACTTTCTCTGTGCCTTTTTCCCAAGTGTATACACGTTATTTGCTGAACAGCAGAAATCCCCACCACTGGGTATGAGGTCTGGAAGACCTGCTTTGTAACTCCCAGTCAGAAGGCTACTCATGGGTTAATATCTTGAGTTACTCACTAATCCTGATCCTGCATCATCCTTTCTTTGTTGCCTGTTGGAGCTCTGGGACAGGCTTGATCAGCTTTCAGAACAGCCTGATTCTTACAGTTTTCTTACAGTGGAGAGTGGTGGTGGTTTTTTCTTCCCTAACACTGTTATCAAGCACTGACCTCGGCAAGGATGAAACAGAGATATTTGGGAGTTCCAAAGCCACAGCAGTGTCACCAGGGTATCTTTCATGACAGACTTTCCTGTTCAACAGAGTAAAGAAACTGCAGCCATTGTGTGTTGTCTGGTAGGAACAATACCCTGACTTTTAGGAGAGGAAGCAAATGGAGCCAGTGCTTCAGCGTTCCTCTCCACAACTGCTTCTTCTCCAGCTCTTTCAGCTGCTGTGACCTTAAAAATGCTTAGGGCATTCATCATTTGGATTAGTTATTCACCCAATTCGAAACATGGCCCAAAAGGTGGTGTCATGGCACAGACAAGCAGCTTTAGTGGCTCCTGGTTGTCAATATTGCAAATGAACTCCAGTGTTGCAAAGATGTTTTCTTAACAGAGTGCAAGTGCTCTGGGTGTTGCAGAACTAAATTTCACATCTGCATCTCCCTTTTCCTGGGAACCCTGTGCCAACAGATAATTACCTTTCTCATCCTGATCAGTGGAACAGACACCTTGGTTTTATTTTTATTTTAATATTTTTATTTTATATTTTTATTTTATTTTTATTCTGAGGAAACCTCCCAAATAGCAGAAATCACCTGCTTTTTTTTTTTTTCCCCCCTTTCATTTTTCCTCAGGACGATACTGCAGCCAATAAGCACTCATCATGGAAAAGTCCAGCCTTTTTTCAGGAGTGTGCTCTAGAGCCTGGACTTCAGCAGAGTCTTGTGCTGAATGAGCCTCTGTAGAAATAAAATAAAAAGTTGCTGACATGGCTGTTGCACACACACTGGCGTGACCAGATGTGTATCTTGCTTCCTTTGGTTTGTGTAGCGAAAAGCTAAAAATAAGCTGGTCTGAAGTGACAGCTCTTTCTTATGTGAGATGTGTCTGCCTTCAGTTTTGGCCAGTCTGAAACTGTAGATTTGTCGTGTCTTGCCATTCTCAACCCCCAGGCGAACAGCGGCCCGAGCACCAACGGCTGCCAGTTCTTCATCACGTGCTCCAAGTGTGACTGGTTGGATGGGAAGCACGTTGTGTTCGGTGAGTGCCTGCAGCGGGGTCCTGGAGTGCCAGCTCAGGGGCATCCCTGGGGGGCAGCTGTTAAAATAAACTGTAGAGAGAATCGTGGAACCCCCTCAGCTGGGAGGAACCCACCCAGTGGAGGATTACTGTGTCCCACTCCTGGCCCTGCACAGGACACCCCAGCCATCCAACCCCGTGCCTGAGAGCGTTGTCCAAACACTCCTGGAGCTCTGGCAGCCCTGGGGCCGTGACATTGTCCTGGGGAGCCTGTTCAGTGCCCAACCACCCTCTGAGTATGGGCTGCTCGTTCTTCCCTTCTTGCTTGTGCTGGTGCTTGCTTGTGCAGCCTGATGTTGTGATGGATCGTGGTTGAAATGAATCGCTTTTTTCCCAGGTTAGCTTTAATCCAGATCAGTTCTGTGATTGTGTTGCTACACAAGTCCTTTTGCCAGTGCAGGTGGCACAGACCAGTCAAGGGATCCCTTTCCATTCCACTGTCAGAGAGGACTGAGCTTTCAGCACAGTTTTTGGACAGTAATTCTGTGAAACCACATCTGCTAGCTTGCATTTACTGCTGCTTGAGCTGTGGGAATTCCAGGCCAGCCTTAAGCTGATGTCCTACTTACTGCTCCCCCCAATTCTTAAGTAACACTGATATTGCTCATTGCCAGGTTTGCATCATTGCAAGGGTTGTGTTGCTAGAGAGGTGGTTTGTGCTGGATGGCAGCACAGCTGGTGGCAGTAGGTCTCAAACCCCAGATTTCTACACAGACCACCCCCTGCCGTGGGAAAAGGCACCTAACCTGTGCTGAATGTGGAAAATATTTGAAGAGGGATCATTTCCTTTATCAGTTTAAAGATCAGTTACAAACTCCAGAGTGCCCAATAGCTACACACTGCACAAGGCTTTTCAGGAAGGGCAAAAATGCATGTAGCTGTGATGGGGGCGGGGGGAGCAAAGGTAAAAAACCATCCATATTGAAGCAGATAATTTTTCTCATTCTAGGTAAAATTGTCGATGGGCTGTTGGTCATGAGAAAAATTGAAGTAAGTTTGAACCCGCCTGTTTCTCCCTGAATGTCCACGTTGGGAAGCGATGTACAGGATTAACCAGAGTTGTCCTGCTCTCTCCAGCTGTCTGTTTACAGGATGCCAGGGAATACCAGTGTCGATAACTGGTATTATCGGTCGTCATCGTTGTAACGTAGCAGGAAATCTGGTGAAGCACAGGCTGTATGGGTTGGCTTTGGAAGTGCTGGTCTCTCGTGGCTGGGGTAGCCTCTGAGCGGAAATTGCGTTCTTGGGGCTTTATTTGCTTTTGCGTTTGTTCAGGAAGCCGAATTAAAAAGTTGTTCCATCAGCAGCCCAGACGAGAGTGTGAAGCATCTCACTTCTGTGCCGCTGCCTGGGATTATTCAGTGGGTGCAAAATCATCAGTTCTGCTGATCCGTGATCAGCATGTTTAATAAGAAAAATTAAACTAATCTCCTGATGGGCTTCCAGGAGCTGAAGATAAGCTCGGTCGGGGTGGGGATTGCTGCCAACGTCGCGCGTGGTGTCACGGCAGGATAATGGGTAGATTTAACGAACAGCAGTGAGCTCTTTGAGACACTGACTCCTTGGCACACATGTGGGATAACGTGCATGAGAGCCTCTAATCTAAAAAGTGGGGCAAGCACAGAGCTGTTGGGTACTGGGAGGAGCTGTACAGCATGGGGTAACCTGTGTGCTGCTGGAGGGTTGTGGTGAGCCTGCTTTGGGTATCGCTGCAGTGAGAGCAAAGTAAAGGAAATTTTATAGCTCAAGGAAGAGTCCAGCATATCGAGGGGTGCAGAATGAGGGTGGCTTTGTCACTGTCTCTTCCCTTTCTGTATGAATACAAGTTTGTTTTGCTTGTGGCAGCTGTTTTTAGTAACTGTGAAAGATTTAAGCCAGAGCAGCCTCAAGTGACACGATGCCTGCTGCATCTCATAAGGGGCTCTCCAGTTTTTGCTCTGTTCTTTCCCTCCTATTCAGAGGACCAGCCTCTGCTCTGTGTCCCAAACAGAGAGAATTCACCAGCTTATGGCTGGGCCTGTTGCCAAAATACCTAACGGTGCTTCTTTGTGCCTCAGAATTCCCTGTTTCCCATGTTACACAAACGTCTCTTAGCCAGTCTTCCAGGACGTGTCACTGGCTGGGTTTGCTGTGCTTCTGTGAGGTTCAATGTTCCATATTTGTCTGTCCCCAGAACGTGCCCACGGGTCCCAATAACAAACCCAAGCTGCCAGTTGTGATCTCTCAGTGTGGGGAAATGTGAAGAGCGATGCAGGAGCAATGTGGTAAGTCTCAGTCTTCCCAGGGACGGTGCCATGAGCCCTGGGCTGCTCTTTGCTTTTCTCTACAAACACCAGAGGCAGCACAGCAGAGAGGAGGTTTTGCAGCTGCAGCCAGGGGGGAGGTGGGGTTGTGGGAGCTGTTCCTTGGATGGAGTTAGACTGCCTTGAGGCCTCAGCTTTAGAAAGTGGATGAAAAGCAACTGCAGCAGGAATCCAGCTGGCATTACCCAGGCAGTCTAGCAGGGGACAGGCCTCGCTTTGACCTGCAGGTTGGAGAACTCTCCAACTACTGCAAAAAGCAGAGCATCCATGGGTGGGGCAGGCAGGGATCAAGAAAAGGAGAGGAGAAAGGGAGGAGTTGCCTCCTTGCTTGGTACAGCTGTAGGACCCCTGCCACTGAAGGACCAAGGAATTATCTTACACAGTTTTACCTGAACTTGAAAAAAATACCACTGTCCTCATCTGAAGGGAGACATTTCCACTATTTACTGTTATTCAGGCTTCTTTTTGGTTAAACCAATAGGCTCAGGCTAACATGCAGAATTCTGTTGCCATTTGTCTGCTCACTTTACTGTAAAAAACACAAGTATTTAAACAAATCTCTCTAGATTTCAGTGTGTCGGGCTGCAGCTTGTCAAAAACCTGTATTAGCCTTATCATTGCTCATTTTTTCCAAATATCAGCAGGCAGGCAGGCTCTGACAAAATCAAATCCCCGCAATTTTTGATCCTCCATTAAGTGATTTCCAAAGACAGCTGGAATTGCCCATGAAGACACATTCCCTGCTTACATAAATAAAGTCTTAGAGATCTGCAGCACCTCAGAATCTTGGGGGCTCCTGCTATTTGATGAAGTGACAGCAGGGAATGTAATCATTCTTCCATTCCCCTGGTACTTCTGGTGGCATTTACAGGCTCTTGAAGATAAGGACAGCCTTGCTAACAGGCTTTCTTGCAGATGGGCAGAGCAGTGCTGATGGGCTGGGTCCCCTTTAGGGTTGTCCTCAGGCCCAGACTTGTTGATCATTTCAGTTTGGAGTACATGATCTCTGGCCAGCGTCCAGCTTGAGCCTGGAAGCTTTTCATTCCCAGGGGCAAGGCTGGTGCCACCTTGTGCATTTCCCAGCCAGGTCTTAGGAACAGCCTTGCTGCACCCTGATGTCTGAGCTGCCTGGGGATGGGAATGGCTTTAGCCTTGCCTTATGTCAGACAGCCACACCAGCTACTTGTCAAGATCCCTGAAAATCAGCTGGGGGAGAGACAGGTTTTAAGGGTTTTAAGTTCAGAGGCAGATGCAGTTGCCCAGCAGGCAGACCCAGGAGGGCTCCTGAGTTCTCTGGCTGATGAAAGCTGGTGTGAACAGCAACTGGCACTCACTTAAAATCACCGTGTGGCCCCCGGTGTCAGTGCACAGCCTTGCTGTCCCAGGATGGGTTGGGAATGCCTGTCCAGCATTCCAGACCTGTTTTCTTCTCTCTTTCAGTGTTCCTTCACCAGTGGTTACACCTGTGCAGTTCCAACTCCAGCTGGCTTCCACGCTGCCCTGCAGGCCAGATCCACGCTCTTGATGTCCTCCTGAAATGATTTGATAATGGGCATCATATATTTTTATTTTGTTCTTTCGCATTTTGAAATGTAAATAAAGAATTTTTTTTTTAAAAAACATGTGTGCAGTGCACATCAGTTAACACGTGTGGGAATGAATTCTCCTCCAGGTGAGAAGGGCTGTAGCCTCTTCAGCAACATGCATTTTCCCTGGCTTGGTCAGTTGGGAACATTTGCTGTGTTATTGAGGGAGAGAAGGGGTGAAAGGAGCTGGACAGAGCTGTGCTGTACCAGGTAACTGAGGCTGCCTGGCATCTTGGGAATCTCCAGAACCCTTCTGTGTGCAGCTTTACTGAGGCACATGGAATTGGTACGGCACAGATTCTACTACTGTGAGTGAGTGCTGGGCTCTGAGGTGAGTTCTGATGTAAACAAGTGTCTGTCAGCTGTCCCCAGGACGTGGTGGCACCAGGCCATGGGGCTGTTCCACACCACGGGGTGTTGGAGCAGTTCACCAGGTGCTACAAGGGTGTTAGAGCAGAACTGTAGGCTGGGAAACAGAGGATGGTGATGCTGCAGGAGTGAAATTGGGGCTGCTCGTCCTGTGTGGTGCAGAGAGCGCAGCTGAGGCTGTAGGTTGGTGGAAAAACTGCCTTTCTTCACCCAGAATGGGGCTGGCAACTTGCCCACCTGCAGGGCTCCAGCAGGAGCTTCTCATCCAGCTGTTTAAGGGTAAAGGATTTAGGGGAGAATCTCTTCTGTCATGTGCAGGTGCTTCATCCCATTCTGAGAGGTCCCATCCTTGGGCAGCAGGTTTGGGGTGCACTCTGTGCCTGAGCTGGGTGAGCCCACTGGTGACGTGCCAGAGGAAGGTCCCACAGGCTTGGCTGTGCTCTTTCTCTCCTGGCTCTTTGAAGTCCTGGCAGCAGGCTCTGGCTCTCAGGACTCCCACTGTCCTCGTTCCTGGGGCTGCACAGCTGCCGAGGACACGCTTCTCTGCAGCCCCAGGGATCTCACCTCGTACCTGCAGAACATCAAGCAACAAAAGGAGCACAAACACGCCAGCTCTTTCCTCCCCAGCCCCACAAATGCTTTGCAGAGGGCTCTCTCCTGTGAGAGGAGGGTTGGAGGTTCCCAACAGGCTGGCTCAGGTGCCTCAGGGAGCTCTGCCTGTCAGTGCAGTGCTGAAGTCTGCCCTTCTGGTTGCTGGTGCCCAAATTCACCACTTTTTCACCAGGGAAACCAGTTTATTTCTGGGTCCAGGCTCAGCAGCAGCACTTTTTCAGCCTGATGTATTTATATCACTGACATCAGCTGGTCTCACTCCCTGCATACAGGGGTCACGGAGCTTCCCCAGATTAATTAACAGCAGCAAATCCATTACCGCCTCTTTGAATGTTGTTCCAATGGCTAATTATATCCCATTACATTTCTCTTCAACATGGAATGTGCAGGGTTTCAGCTTTCCCGCTTGTGTGTCTTGCTCCTTACCTGCTGGCTGGAAGTTTTCTCAGAAACCACATTTTTGGATTGAATTCCCCCACGATGATGTCATATGTAGCAAGGCCTGGAATCTCCTGCTGTAGAGCAGGTGATGGAGCTCCTCTCCAGCATCTGCCTCCAGCTGTGGGTGCTGCAGTGGGAGGGGGTGTCTCTGATGGCCTCTGTGTTTCTCTGAGGGTCAGAGAGGCTTCAGGCCCCCCCCAAAGACATTGTTGGGGCCCGCAGTTTCAGCTGTAGGTGCATGGCCCTGACATTCCCACAGGCTTCCTCGCAGAGCTGGGAGTTTTCTCCACCATTTTCTCGTTCTTGGATCTCTGCACGGTGCATTCCCTAATTCCCATTCTACTCTAAGATTATTTTTCAGATGACTCACTAAGCACCATCCAGTTTTGACATCATTCCAGCTTCTTTATCCAGGTCATCATCGCGGTGCAGATCCTTGTGGGACCATGTTTTCAAGCTCTTCCCTTTGTCAGCCGAGCTGGAGATCGAAGTGAAAAGATGCCCAAGGGAGCTGGATGGGACCAGTGTTCATAAACCCCCATGGGTTGTTGTGGTTGGGTTGACCTTGGCTGCATTGGAGTCCCTCACCTGGCCATGGAATGCGGGGAACTGGGATAGAGAAACCAGACAGTGATTCGTGTGTATGATGCTGGAAGTGCTGATCCTGAGGAGACACACGTTGGTTGCAAAAACAGTTGAGTGATGGGTCATGTCCCAGAGACCTGGTGACCTCTGCCTCCTCTTATGTGGGAGAGATGGCCTAGACAAGGGCAGGGCTGGGATTCTGTGGCCAACAACCACTTTTTTCAAGCGCCCAAGGAGAGTAAGTTGTTTTCAAGGATGGTGGTTTTCCCCCTGGAGCTTCCCTCTGGGGAACCCAGCAGAGATGTTGGGTATCTCCAATCTGCTGTAAGGTGAAGATATAGGGGAAAAGAAAGAAAGGGGAGATGAGAGGTGGTGGTTGGAGAAGGGCTCCAGCAGGGTGAAGGACCCAGCAGTGATGCTTTCCCGACAGCCTGGGTGGGCAGAAGGGCTTGGGGTGAGGAGCTGCCCCTGCACCTCTGGGAAAGGAAGCATGGATTGCTTAAGGAAAAGCCAATTTCCCAGGGGTCTGCTTGGTGCTGCTGTATCAGGAATAGTGTGGCCAGCAGGACCAGGGAAGTGATTCTTCCCTGTGTTGGGCACTGGTGAGGCCTCACCTCAAGTGCTGTGTCCAGTTCTGGGCCCCTCAGTTCAGGAAGGACATGGAGGGGCTGGAGCAGGTCCAGAGAAGGGCAACGAGGCTGGGGAAGGGTCTGGAGCACAAGTGCTGTGAGGAGCAGCTGAGGGAGCTGGGGGACCTCAGCCTGGAGAAGAGGAGGCTCAGGGGAGACCTTATTGCTCTCTGGAATTCCCTGACAGGAGGGGGTAGCCAGGTGGGGGTCAGGCTCTTCTCCCAGACAACCAGTAGCAGGATAAGAAGGCACAGTCTTAAGCTGTGCCAGGGAGGTTTAGGTTGGACATTAAGAAATTCTTTACAGAGTGAGTGCTCAGACTCTGGAATGGGCTGCCCAGGGAGGTGGTGGAGTCACCACCCCTGGAGGCGTTTAAGGAGAGACTGGATGTGGCAAAGAGGCGGTATTGGGTCAAAGGTCGGACTTGATGATCTCAGAGGTGTTTTCTAACCCAGTTGATTCTGTGATTTGCACAAGGCTCATTTCCCACCGGTAATTAACACTTTCCAGGCCCTTTCTGCCCATCACGAACAGGAGCCCAGGGAGCCCTGCCTGCACAATTGCTCTGCCCTGGTGAAATGCTGAGGCCCGAACAACAGGCCCTGATGAACCTTCCAACCTAATGTTATGTTTAGCCAAAATTCTATATAATCCTTAGTAAAATAGGTTAAGACTACACCTGTTCAAACATTTATGCTTGTTAGTAAGATATATTGGTATTTGTTTATTCGTGAAGATTTGTGTCTGCTCATTAAGGAGAGTCAGATATTCTCCACATCGAGTTAGCGATGGAAGCTTGTTTGTTTAACAGCATAAAAGGTGGACCCTCTCACAGCAGAGCTGTAGACCACACCTATGGGTGAGGATTGGGAGTGGATTTCCCTTTCCCCTTGATCAGGGGCTCCCCCGGGTCTGGATGATGGCAATGTATCAAAGAGATAATAACTGGTGATGTATCTTTCTTAATCCCCATGGACACCCTATCCAATAATGATCAGGTGCATTGCTAAACTTATCCTTTTATAATTCTCTGCTTCTTCCGCAGTTCTTTGCTGTTTTGCGCTATGGTAAATTTACACGCTTATTCTTTAAAGTTGGTGTCTGTGTTTCTTCTGTGCTGACTGACCCTCGTCCTCTGGCAGAACACCCGGGGATTCTTTACAAGAAAAGGGAGGCCGCTCAGGGTGGGGCGTGAGGGGTCCTGAGGGGTTGTGAGGGGCTGGGGGGGCTCAGGAGGGACCGCGGGGCTCCAGGAGGTGCCGTGAGGGCTCGGGAGGAGCCGTGAGGAGTCGGGAGGGGCCATGAGGGGCCGGAGGGGTTGTGAGGGGATGGGGGGCTCAGGAGGGACCGCGGGGCCCTGGGAGGGGCCGTGAGGGCTCGGGAGGAGTCGTGAGGGGCCGGCAGGGCTGCGAGGGCTCCGTGAGGGTCCGTGAGGGCTCGGGAGGAGTCGTGAGGGGCCGGCAGGGCCGCGAGGGTCCGTGAGGGTCCGTGAGGGCTCGAGAGCGTGGGCGAGGGCCGCGAGGGTCCGTGATCCCCCGTGGGCAGACGCGGGCGCCGCCGCCACATGGCCGCGCGCACTTCCCCGCTCGCGCCCGCCGGGGGCGGGCCCGCCGGCCATAGCGGCCAATCAACGGCCCGGGGGCGGGGACTCGCGGGCCGGCCGGTGAGGAGCGCGAGTCTGGCGGCCGCGGGGCGCACCCGGCCAATGGGCGCGCGCTCCCGCCGGGACGGGCAGGGGCGGCCGCCAATAGGGTTGGGGCGAGGGGGCGGGCGGTGGGGCGGGGAGGGCCAATGGGGTGGCTCACCGCTTAACGGACAGGACGGTTGGCGAATCGCGCGGCGCGCGGGCGGGGCGCGCGGGGTGGCTAGCCGGTGCGCGCCGCCATTGTGGCCAGTTCGATCGGTATCGGGAGCGGAGAGCGGAGCTCAGCGAGCCCGGAGCAGGGAGCAGCCCCCCGCCCCCAACGGCCGGCCTCAGTCACCATCACAACCGCGGGAGGGCGGCGCGCGAAACAGCAGTCACCACCACCGTCCGCACCGAACAAGCCGCCGCCATGAGCAGCGAGGCCGAGACCCAGCCGCCCGCCGCCGCCCCCGTCCCCGCGGCGGCCCCCGCCGCCGCGCCCGCCGACTCCAAGCCAAACGGCGGCACCGGGAACGGGGGAGCGGCCTGGCCTCGGCGGCGCCTCCCGCCGGCGGGGACAAGAAGGTCATCGGTGAGGGCGGGCGGGGTCCCCGGGGAAGGGGGGAGGGGAAGGCGGGTGGGAAGCCCCGATTTCCCCCTGATTCCCCCACTGCACGGCTGAGGGCGGCGCGCTCCTGCTGGCTGAGGGGCGGCGCGCCCCCGCTCGAGCGGGAGCGCGCGGCGGCCGTTGGTCGGCTCCTTTTCCCCCCGCCTCGCGCCCCGCGCGCGCCGCCGGCCCCGCGTGCCGGGGTGGGGGCGGGGCGGGCGCAAGATGTCCGCCACGCGGGGCCGCTGTGCGCGCGCCCCGCCACGTGCCCCCTGACGCGCCGCTCCCCTCCTCCCTTCCCCTTCTGCCCCCTCCCTCCTTCCCCCCTTTTACCTCCCCTCCCCGCAGCAACGAAGGTTTTGGGAACAGTGAAATGGTTCAACGTGAGGAACGGTTACGGCTTCATCAACAGGTGAGCGCCTCCCGGGGTGGTGGGGGGGGGGCCTGTCACGGCGGGGAGCGGGCGCGGGTGACGGCGGGGCGGCGGTGGCTTCCTCTGCAGAAGGAGCTGGGGAGAGGTGCCCTTCCTCTGACCCGCTCGGGGCTCACCGGGTTGGCTTTTGAGTCCTTTTACCTGGAGCCTTTACCTTACCTTTTACCTAGTGCTGCGCTCTGTCAGCGAGTGTATTTCCACGGCGATGTGTCTTCATGTCACAGTCGTTTCTTATTTGTGGTGGTTTGCGGTTTTTTGGGGGGTTTGTTGCGGGGTTGTTTTGTTTTGGTTTTTTTTCTTTTTTTTAAATATGAAAGTACAGTGGTAGCTGTCAGTATGCTGATGGTATTGCCTTTTTTTGTCTTAAGAATGTAAAAGTATACTGGTAGCTGTCAGCACACACGGTATTATTTGTTTGAACTCCTGCTTGGAGTTCAGACAATGCAAGCAAAAATTTGCTTTGAGGACTTGGTAGTTTGCAAGTGCTGCTCTCATGAGAATTCCCTCTATTAACACGTGGAGCAAAAGGAGCACAGTTCACATTGTCTGTTGCCTCACTGGGGTGTATGGGCAGGTCTCAAGAAACAAGTGCCCCAAAGATTCTTTTTATGACGGTAGTTGATGTGAAAGAATAATTCGAACACTTCGGGAGTTGTGTGAATTCTTAAAATAGGCCTATCAGGGAGAGGAGGCCTGAAAGTGCTCTGCAAACCAGTGCTCTTAAAAAGTGCAATTCTGGGGCCTGTCACTTGAAGGGGCCTTCCCTGGGGAGTTGCCAGAGCTGTTCCCCTTATTTCCTGGTACTTCGAGCCCCCCAGTCTTGGAATGTGGCTGAAGACTGGGGAATCCCCCTTTAGGGCAGCAAGTGTAGTGCTTTTATTGGGCCTTTTATTACACTTGGGCTTAAACACTGCCTTTTTGAACTGTCTGTTACTTTATGAGCTGGTCCAAAGTGTCTGCCAAGCTCCTGACTCGGTTTTGTGTCTGCAGCTTTACAGACTTGCCTCCCAGTCAGCCCAGTTTGCGTTGCTCATGCCGTGTTCCAGCTCCCAGCCTTGTACAGTCACCAGTGCCTGGGAGCTGTCGTGTCTTGGGCGCTGGAAACGCCTCCCAAGTCCCAGCCACAAACCCCACCTCGAGGGAAGGCTTTTCCTGTTCCCTCAGTAGTGGAAATGCTCGGTGATGTCAGTCTTGTGAGGAAGCAGCAGCAGCTAGTTAAGACATCCGAGTGGCTTCCCTAGTCATTACTTTGGCAGCTGTTTAATCCCCGAGGTTGCCGTTCGTAATGAGAAACCCAGCATGATCTGCTGTTATCAAAAGATTAGAGCCGCGGCCTGGGAACCGAACGGGAGGACATTTCCTCACATTTCCTCAGCTCTGGAATCTGCCTGGCTGCAGGGAAGCCGTGCGGGAGCCCCTGCCCGTGGCTCTGCTTCAGCCAGATCTGCTCGCAGATAAACTGGGCTCTGGAGCAGAAATCGGCTTTGATGTAGGTGCCCGCACACCGAAGGTATTTCCTGCCTGCTTGTAATGATAGAAGTGCGTTTCTGCTCCGAAATAGGGGTTTGATTTCTGAGTCTTTGTCGATTGTTTTCCATGGTTGTCAAAATAAGAACTGGGCGTGCAGGCCGCTGGCTTTGTCCTTACCCGAGCTGGTGTTTGGTATTGTCCAGCCTGGCCTTTGATGCCCTGCTGGATTTCACAGTGGAGTTATCTCAGTCTGTTGGCTTGTCTGATTCCTTTTTCAGTTTATTCTTATGGATTAAAGATGTGAATGAGAGAGTGGCTTTGTGCAAAGATCAACTAAATGGCTTGTTGGTCCTTCGGAATAGGGGTTTTTCTTGTACCCTTCCTACTGCTCCACCATCCACACAACAGCACACTTACTGCTTCCAGGTGTGCTTGCTGGAAAACAGCATTGGGAATGGTGTGGCCAACAGCATGGGGCTGTGAGATGGCCTAGTGTGTTTTTTATCTGTGTGTGCACTGTTAGGCTCTGGGTGACCCAGTCAGTCATCCATCTAAAACTCAGATATCCTCTTAAATGGAAGCTGCATTTGGAAAAGGAGTTTAAAACCAAGCATCTGCTCTGGTTGGGCAAAACTGCTTGTGGAACATAGGGGATGAACACTTCCTACAACCATTTTTGAGCTGAGGCTGAAGGAAGGGGCTCAGCATTTTTACTATAAATGTTACTGGGCTCTTGGGAAGGTTTTCAACTTTTGGGCCTGTGTTGTGAAGAAGAGTCTTTAGGCTCTGGCTTTGCAAGGGCTTCTGAGTGCTGCATTGTGGGGCCTTGAAGATGAGATCAGAGTGGCTCTGCTCTGCTGCCTTTGGCTGCCTCTTCCCAGTAACCTTTGGGGCTTGTAGGTATCAATTCCATGGGAAACAAGGTGGCTTATTTTTACTGGTGGTGTCTGACAGAACAGCCATAGCTTTGATGGAGCTTTTGGAAAAAGTCTTAGTTGTCAATTCTCACTTTTTAAAGCCAATGGTGAGGAGCACCTGGCTTTATCTTCTAAAAAAACAACAAACCAAGCATTCTGTTACCCATAGCTGGGAGCTCTCCAGTTCTGAGCACATTTTGACACAAGCTTACTTATGTCTTTAACCAGTCCTTCTAGGAAATAAAAGCCTCTTCCCTGTTGGTTCAAACTGTTCCATTCAGTAATGAAACACCACAAGGGTGGGTTGGTGTGATGGGAGCTGGGATGTCTGTGTGTCAGGAGCAGGGGGAGATGGCTTGTGCAGCTCTAATCTAACCAGTCCAGGGGTGTTTCTGCACCTCCTCAGAGCAGAACAGAAACTTGTGACCAGAGCTGGTTGCCTCGTGGCAGTTGTGGAAGGTCTGCCATGATCATGGTGAAGGATGGATGTTCTTGGGTCCTTGTTGATACAGACCTGAGCTGTTTTCTGTTTCTCAAGAGGGGAGATCCAGGGCTGACTGACCCTGCTGCACTCATGGGCAGCTGGTGGTGCTGTTCCTCGAGGCTGAGGGGATGTAACTGGGACTCCAGTGGCGAGGGCACAGCTGCTTCCAGAGGCTGCAGAAGGCATTCCCCCACAGAGCACTGCCAGGAAGGAGTGACTGGTCCCTTTCAGGTGTTCAAACACCTGCATCCTTTGGATGTGAAGGATAGAGGAGTGTGCAGGAGTGAGGAGGAATGTGCCTTACTGGGCTTGAGTGCATGCACAGGCTTCCTGCATGCAGTAAGCTGGTAGGAACTAGTTGAGAGCAGACTGAGCAAGGCTGATGCTCAGAGTCTGTTGTCATGATAGATTTGCATTTTGACTCCATGCCAGAAGATTGAATTTTTAATTTACTGTGCATTTCATTCATGAATCTCAACTTCCTGTTGTCTTGCAGGAATGACACCAAGGAAGATGTGTTTGTCCATCAGGTAAGAAAAAGCTCCTTGAAACTGAAACATGTCCCCTCTCTGAAATTCCCTCTGCCTGACCCATGTAAGTAGGATTGAAGTGGGAGAACCTCATGTGTTCTCCGTTACTTGAACACAAACACCTGCTGCTCTATTACATTGCAAGTAGAGCCTGGATTTTGTGTGTCCACATGAGGTACATGGGGCTGAGGTGATGTACAGGGATGAGAATTGCCACTGTGTGCTTGGGGATAACTGCTTGGGTCCAGTCTCCTTGTAGAGTGGTTAAGTAAGCATCTGGAAATAAAGTTACATGAAAAGCTTGCAGCAGGGAGAGAAATTAATTGGGCTGTCATAGGGATGAAGTGCCAGTGAAGCTTTTTTTCCCTAGGAGAAACTTTTATAGATTTTATTGCTCTAGGCTTTCAGTGAAAATCTACAAAGATTTTAATAGGGACTTCCTCAGTTTAGCAGATAAGTATCCTTAGATATAATGTATGGTGAGCAGGGTTAGCCTTAGCTTAGCCCTTTGATTGGCAAGGCTGTAGTCAGCAGTGTGCTTTCACCTTTTCTGTCTTAGGATCTCTTGTCAGGAAACAGCCCACAAGGAATTCTTAGTGGAGCATGGTTTACTTCTGGCATTTAGGAGTCCATGGATCATCCTTTTGTCTCAAATTAGGGATGCGCTGCTGATGTTAACACAGAGGGAAGGAAAAGCAACCCCTGGAAAGTGTTTTCTGTTTGATTTGTCAGCTCTCAGCTTCTTGCTTGTTCCATGTCTAAATTACCAGCTGTTAGAGGCGTTGGTTTGTGAGAGATTATTGTGTAGTGGGCAGTGGAGAAAGGCTGAGCAGGCAGGGACCTGTGCCCTGAGGGGAAGCTTTCAGACCTGATTTGCAAGTAGGGTCACCTGTGAGTGACCTTGACTTACTAGTCATGTTTCAGGGCTTGTCATGTAACTACTGTCTGTGTTTCTGAAATCACAGTTGGGTAATGATTTGTTTTAATGTAAGAGTTTTTACAATGAACTAGTTTTAGGGGTCTAATCTGAAAGAAATCAGCTTGTTTGAGAAGCTCCAGCTGTGTCTGTCATTCCCCATCCCTGTTATCTACCTTGGTTCTCACAAGAGCTGTTGGACTGGCTGCTGTTGTAATAAGGCTTTCCCTAAAATCACTGCTGTATAGGCTGAGACTTGTGGGCATGTTTTTCCTTGGATTTTGTTCCGTTTAGGAGAGAAAAAATCTAGTCAAATTGTGCACTGAAAATTGAGTCAAAACCAGAGGATTGTCTGCTGGCATCTGTGAAGGGCCAATCCTTGGTGTGTCATATACAGCTAGAGTAGATTGGGGATTAATTGGTAAATCCTGCGGTGGAAGCCTCAGGGGAAGAAACCTCCTGATTTCTGTCCATTGCTGTGTTTCTACAGTATGGGACCCAGAGGCTGCTGTGTCCTGTGGTGGTGTGGGAAAGGGTGGAGGGCTGGAAATCCAAAGGGGTGATTGGAAAGGCTGATGCATTGCTGTATGTGCTTCAGGGGAACGTGTAGCTGCCACGGTGGTGTTGAATGCTAAACTCTGGTCAGGAATCCTGTGGCCGGTGTGTGGTGTGGGAGTTTTGTTGTTTGTTTTCAAGCTGCTTTCTCAGCCAGCAGACAAATGTGTTGACAGATGCTTCCAGTCAATGGTAAAGCTGTTGCACGTTTCAAATAGGCCAGAACTGTAGTAACAGAGGTGCATTTTGTGGCTTCCTTGATTTTCCCAATGGTTCAATTGTTTTGTTGGGAGTACAGATCTTTCTCCTAAGATGAGAAATTTAAATATTTAGTAATCTTAAAAAAAAAAAAAAAAAGAAAAGTCTTCATATGTACTCCTTTGTATTCTCATGTTGTGCCTGCACTGTTGTGTTGTTAGACTGCCATAAAGAAGAATAACCCCAGGAAGTACCTCCGCAGCGTAGGAGATGGAGAGACCGTGGAGTTTGATGTGGTTGAGGGAGAAAAGGTAAACACATCTTCTCGGGTGTCAGAGCACACATGGAAAACTCGGACTGCAGGCTTTGGTGTGGTGCCTGTGGTTTGAGTCGATGCCTGATGACATCCGAGGAGGTGAATGGTTTTTCATTGCTTCACAATGTGGCTGTAAATCGCTGCTCAGTGCTAGACTGTGTTGTGCTGCAGCTGGTGGGCTGCCTGACTGTGTCCCTAACGCTGTCCCCACTCTTTAGGGCGCGGAGGCAGCCAACGTTACAGGACCTGGAGGAGTTCCAGTGCAGGGCAGTAAATACGCAGCAGACCGTAACCATTACAGACGATATCCACGTCGTAGGGGCCCTCCACGCAACTACCAGCAAAACTACCAGAACAGTGAGAGTGGGGAAAAGAACGAAGGAGCAGAGAACATACCAGAAGGTCAAGCCCAGCAACGCCGTCCCTATCGCAGGCGGCGGTACCCACCTTACTATATGCGTAGGCCCTACGGGCGTCGTCCACAATATTCCAACCCTCCCGTACAGGGAGAGATAGTGGAGGTAATGTTTGCCAAAGGTGTGGTGCTAAATAGTCTTGGTTGCTTTGGAGCAGGGTGATGGGACGTGGCTCTTGACGCTTCTCTTTTGGCACTCCAGATGGTTTTGCTGAGGTTTGGCGGTAAGATGAAATGCTGTAGGTTTTAAAGTTGTAGCTTTTTAAAAAACGGTGTGTTTGTATTTATGTGATTAAGTGAAAGGTTCTCCATCGTGTGCACACCTGTGCCCTAGAACTGCTGCCCACCTTGACTGAACCTGACACCTTTTCAGCTCCTTCCTCGTGGCGTGACGAGCTGTGGCGTTAACACACTTCTGCTTGGGGCTGAGGAGGTTGTGTGGCCTGATGTCTTGCAGGGTGCTGACAACCAGGGTGCAGGAGACGGCAGACCAGTCAGGCAGAACATGTACCGGGGTTACAGACCACGATTCCGCAGGTATGCTGGAGATGGGCTTCTGGTCTTACACTTGTCTTTCAGCAACAGAGCCAGGACATGGCGATGCTCAGATGCTGCATGGTTAAAGCCTAGCTTGACTTTCAGGGGTCCTCCTCGTCAAAGACAACCTAGAGAGGATGGGAATGAAGAAGATAAAGAGAACCAAGGGGATGAGACCCAAAGTCAGCAACCACCTCAACGTCGGTACCGCCGTAACTTCAACTACCGACGCAGACGCCCAGAGAACCCTAAACCACAAGATGGCAAAGAGACGAAGACAGCCGAACCACCAGCTGAGAACACGTCCGCTCCCGAGGCCGAGCAGGGCGGGGCTGAGTAAATACCGGCTTAACATCTCTACCATCATCCGGGTGCGTGGCTGGGGGCCTGGGGGTGCCGTTTGCTCACGTGCTTCTGATGCTTGTTTTTTTTTTTTAATTTGTACTTTACAAGGTTTGGTTTGTTCTTGCTCGTGTGTGCTGTGACTGACCTGTGACAGTGCCCACAGAACCGAACTGCGAGCCTTTGCTTTGCCAGTGGTGGTTCATTAGGAGGACTTAGTTGCAGGCTTTAATTGTCAGTGATGGAGTTACACTTAAGTAGTTCAGCCTTACAGCAGTGTCTGTCCACCCAGAAATTCAAACAGTGCAGGTGTAGTGACTCCTGTAGCCAGGAGAGCCAGGTCCTGGGGTTTACTGAGCTCATTCCCACAGGGGTGTTGGGTGGCAGTGAGACCTCTGAATCCATTTCTACGAAGTTGATGCAGAATTAGCAGGAGAGTCTTGGGAGGATCTTTTTATCTAATCAAAGTGCTGAGAAAAAGTGATCCTTTTGTCAGAGCCTGCAGGGACTGCGATTGCAGTGCTGAGGTGCCAGGCAGGGCAGGGCCCAAAAGCTGGGCTTGTTGCAAAGGAGCCTGGCAATGATTGGCACTTGTTTGGTGCTGATTTCTGAAGGACAGTTCTGGTGTTCATCTTCATGATCAGCACCTCCTAGATGAACTCTTAGATCATGGCCTTCAGAGGGACACCACAGTGGCACTTTGGTTCCTCTTGCTGTGGAGGAACGTTGGAGAATATTGGTTGTGGTTTCTGTGCTCTGGGCAGTGACTGAGCTGCGTGTGTTGGCAGAGCTGGTGGGAACAGCCATCCCCATGGCAGGGAGGGGGAGATGCAGGTGGATTTAAACTGACTGACTGTTCTCTCTGGGGTCCCCAGAGTGGTCTCTCTGGTGTTGGTCCTGTGGGGAAGGTGTTGGTGTGGTCTTGGCACTCAGAGCACCTCTGTCACCTGTCTGATCAGCCTTTTCTCTTCTTCTTTTTCAGTTTAGTCATCAAAGAAAAGACTTTAAGAAATGAAGAAGAAAACGAAATTCCAGCAATAAGAAATGAACAAATGAATTGGAACTGAAGACCTTAAGTGCTTGCTTTTTGCTGTTGACCAGATTACTAGAACTATCTGCATTATCTATGCAGCATGGGGTTTTTATTATTTTTACCTAAAGAATTCTCTTTTTGGAAATGATAAACACGTTTTTTAAAAGCCTGTTTTTTCTCAATATACCTTTAAAAGTTTGTAAATTGTTTCATATCTGGTCAAGTTGAGATTTTTAAGAACCTCATTTTTAATTTGTATGGAATATACGCCTGATTTTTTCAAGTCAAACTGCAAGCATCTGTTAATAAAGGTCTTAAAGAGTTACTGTGTGTGCTTGGGTGTTTTAAACCCACTTTTGTGTGGAAGGGTCTTAAGTGTTCCTAGAAAGTTTGGGAAAAAAAGATGCTTTATTCCTTGGGCATGTGGGTTGGGGGGGTAGAACACAAAAACTGAAGTGAAAAATCAATGAAGATGCAATTGAGTCCCACTGGAATGGGATGGGCAGGCATGGAGGGAGGGGAGTGCCTGGTGTGAGCAGTGTTTTTCCAACAGCTGTTTGCTGGGGCAGCTCAGCTGTGTCCCTGCTGGAATACAGCAGTCACAGAACTGAGGGGGTGTGAGGGTGCTTAAAAAAAAAGGGAAAGAAATACCCCAGAATCAGAGAATCCCAGATGGGTTTGGGTTGGAGGGACCTTAAAGCCCATCCAGTCCCATCCCTTGCCATGGGCAGGGACACCTTCCACTAGCCCAGATTGCTCCTTGATTTTCTGGGACACAGATCTGTTATCCCAGCAGCTGCTGCAGTGGTTGCTGGTGTCTTGCTGCTGGTGTGCAGGGAAGGGAATCTGGGGGTGAAACCAGGGTGCCTGGGTCGGCTGTAGCAGTAGCAACGTCCCCCAGATGTCCCCCAGCAGGGCAGGAGCACAGAGACCGAGCTGTGCCTTGTGCCCAAACCGGCTCTGGCTGTGCCCAAGTGCCGCGGTGAGAGCCTGGAGAGCGGGGCTGCTCCCCCAGAGCGTGAGGAATTGCCCACATGGAGCATGACTGCCACTGCAGAGGTGCTGCTGTCCAACAGCAGCTTTAGGGATGTTCCTACACACTAATTGTCTCTTCTGTGCTCCAGGCTTTGCTCTCTCCAAGCACCTTCTAACGCTCACACGTGCCTGTCCCCCAGCGCTGTGCCAGCTGTGAGCGTCCTGCCCTCTAGACATGGCTGTTGGACAGCAAACTGTCATTCCTGCTCCTTATTCCAGTCACTCAGCTTTAGCTTTCGGATTTCCTCCTCTCCCAGGTCCCTGGGGTGTTGCTGACACCGACAGCTTCTGCCCAGCCTCCCTGTGCTGTGAAGGTTTTTGTGTGAGGGTGAGAAGGAAGGAAATGAGCAGCAAACCAGCATTCAGTGACTAGGGGTGGAGAGGATGGAGTTGGTGGTGGGGTTGGATTCTGATTTGTTTTCATAATGGCTTGCAAGTGAAGAAGGATAATAATTCACTTGGAAAACAGAATTCCCATTCTGTGTGGTCTTTAAAACCGCACTCTGCAGGTAGAGCACCTCCCTCAGGCTTCAGACTGACTCACCTGCTTGTGCCTGATGAGTATGCCTGCAGTGTTCCCCAATGATCCCCCGTGAAAACACTGATAACTAAGTGCTCCAGACTCCTGGGTTTACCCAGTTTTTGAGACCAAACATCGTGTTGCCCCATGCCAGAGTGCAGGGGCAGCTTCCAGGGGGCTGGGGTGGGAGGGACCGGGGCCACCAGCCACGTGGAGTCAGTGTTGCTCTGTGCAGGAAAGGCTTCCCACTGAATTCCTCCAAAGTGTGGGCTGAGAAACGTCAGAGCAGCTCCTCTGCCCTCACTGTCCCAACAGCTTTCCCGGGGGACCTGGGGGCATCTTTTCTCAAAGCAACACTTCTCTGGGATTTATTTTCATGAAACCTGGCTGGAAGTGGGGAAAAAAACCTTTCCCTGGGTGAGTGCTGCAGCACCCTTGCTTTTAGCAGCCACTGATGCTGCAGCTGGCGGCAGTCAGAGCCTGGAAGCAGCTGCAGAAAGGTCCCAGTCCAGGTGCTGGTGCTTTAACGGGGTCGTACTGGCGAGGAGAGCATCCCACAGCGGGTGCAGGAGGTGCTGGTGGCCGTCACACCCGCGAGTCCATGGCGTACATCTTGCTGGTGGCTGTCCGGCCCCAGGGCTGGGGACGCATCTGGGGTTGCCAGTGGCTGCTGGGGGCTGCCAAGGAAGAGTTGGGGTTGTGTCACGGCTGGCAGTCACAGGAGGACTTGAGGCTGCCACGGCGTGGAGACATGGCAGGAAAAGTGACAGCAGGGTCAACTTCCACCCTGTGGGACCAGGCAATAGGACTGGAGGTGACATCTGGGGAGGCATCACCTGCCCAATGTCCCTGATGGTGGAGCTGATGGCCCAGGCTCAGGCTGGTCACAGGGATTCAGCTCCAGCATGGCCACTGCTTTGGGTAAACATCAGCATGCCTTCAGCTGGACCTGGAGGTGTCACGGATGTGGATGGACCCCTGCAACCCCCCATACCCTTATGGGGCCCTCGTTCAGCCCCATCCTACCTGGTGTACCCTCCCCATCCGAGGGACACGGGCTGGGCACAAAGGGGTGCCTTGGTTGGGCTGGACCCTGCAAGAAGCACCCAAGCCCCACCCCGAGCGAGTCCTTCACTCCCCGTCCCTGCAGGGCAAAAAGCTACTGGAGATGGGAGGGGGTGGGACGGGGCAGACTGACCTGTGCAGGCATAGAGGCAGCAGGTCAGCAGCACCGATGCCACAAAGCAGCCGGTGGAGCCGGCCATCCCCAGCCAGCACGACCACCCGAAGTCGTAGTGCACTCCCAGGAAAATGTTGTGTGACACCAGCGTGGCCCTCTCCACGTACACGTCCACCGCGTACCACACGGAGCCCACGAGCCCCAGGATGCCTGGGAGGAACGGGGCTGGTCAGAAGGAACCACACAACCCTCCCCAGCCTCCCCAGGGCCCTGCTGAGGGGGTGCCGCTCTCCTGGCATCCCTCCCAGCTCCCTGTGGGACACGAGACCTGTCTGCCCCCCCAGCACTCCCAGCCACGCACTCCCAACGCCGAGCGTGGCTCCGGCCCCGTAGCACATCCTCAGTTTGACACAGGGGTCTTCCTTGAGGAACTTGATGCAGTCGAGCCCGAGGACCAGTGCAGCCAAAGCCAGGCCAGCCAGGAGGTCTGCTGTGATCATCAGGGTCCGCGTCACCACGATCTTCACTGGGCAGGGAAGTTAAAAAACAACCAGAAAGGAGAATGAGGAATGGTCAGAGGAACTGGTCTCTCCACCCCACAGTGCTGGCTGTGTCCCTGCTAAAGCCACCCAGCTCACAGTGGGAGCATCACACTGGGACCCACCAACCCCATTGCTGCCGTGGGCCAGGGGAAGGTGCTCAGCAGGCTCATCAGAAACTTAATGAGGGCTTAATTAGACCAGCTCAAGAAACCAAATAACTCAAGGTGCACCCATCAGCACCCAGGATGTGGTCATCTGCTCAAGACCTTCTTGGGCAGAAGATGCTGCTGCCCAGACTGTTTCTTCCCCCAGGTTGTGTAGTTGGTGTTTTGAACAGCCAATGTCAATGTACCAATGAAAACAGAGATCTGGCACGGGTCACATCATCAACTGTGATGGGACTGCGCCCTGAAACGCTCCCTCCTCCCCAGAGCAGGGTGGCAGCCCCCCTTAGTCCATACTGACTGCTTGTTTCCTTCTCTGCTGCCTGAGTCTGTGTTGTCCCATGTCATGAAGTGACACAAGGGTTCTCAGTGTAGGGCTTGATGTGCCCTATGCAGGCCAGGAGAATTGTCCCTACCCCACTGTGACTGTCCCTGAGCTGCTGGCACAAGTCCCTGGCCACTGGGACCCAACCAGTGGGTTGCAAATCCCACTGTGCAATAGCAGCAAGAGCTGGGCTCCACGTGCCAAAACACCTTTGCTGTCAGGTGGCACAG